TCGCCATTTCGAAGGTTTAAAAATCTATTTTTAATGGTTGGCCAAAACTTATTTGAGTTAGATCTGTGCTTAAACAAACGAATGCTACTGTCTTAATTGAAAAATTAATGGCTTTTCCCTCTGAGTTTAAGCGCTTTTCTTCACTATTATTTTTGTCCTCTAATTTCCTCTTTCTTTAGCCTTGGTTCTTCTCCTTTTTCAGTAGAATATGATTTTGCCCACAATTTGTAATATTGACCACATTCAAACACCAGGCTAAATGGTATTAGGGCTTAACCATGAACAAGCAGCAGAGTGACAGAGTTGTCAATGTCCAAATGGATCAAATTATGCAAATCACGGATTTTAGTTTATTTCATGAAGAACTAGTCAAGGAAGATGGTGGGGGGGGACCCTGTTGGAACAGCCAGCAGGCTCTGCAAGACACAGTTTAGTACTAAATTGTGGCATTGTTTCTTTCATAAACCCCATGAATGGAGTCATTGATGAAGCTTAGCCAAGCACTGACAAAAGTTCCAATACTAAACAATAGTTATATTTTTAGAATATGCATAGATAGAGTGGCAAAAGTGCCATAATGTTTTTAATATAATCTTTAAAAATGGCTTGTGGTTAGAACGCTGAGACAAAAGATCATTGAGAAGTCAATAGCCCCGCGCTTCAAAACTCAAGAGCGAGATGTGTGATGGAATGAGCTCCCGTCAATTCGTCCCAGGTCCTGCCAACCTAGTAGTTTGAAAGCGTGCAAATGCAAGTAGATGAATAGGTACCACTTCAGTGGGAAAATACCAGGGACATGAAAGGAGCCCCCTCAGGTATCTCCTGGACAAAGGGGATGTCACCGGCTAATCCTTTCAACCCAGAAGCACCTTTGTAGATACATCCAACACAAAACACAGTAGTAATATAATTTGGAGCTACAAAGCAAGTATAAATGACTTTGAATAGTTGGCTATTCAATGTATCCTAAATGAGATTAGGCACTATCTTTTTTATCCCCTCAACATATTGAACAGCCTAACAGATAAAATTATTGAAGTGTTGAGCATGCAGTGCTTGTTCTTATATTTGAAATAGTTGCTCTTGGGTGTATGATTTATTGGTAAGAAGATGTATTGCTGTTATATATCATTTTTGTTTAACACTTTTTCTAGTTCAGCACTCTAACCATGCCCAAGTAGTCATAAAATATATCAGTATGTTTTTGTAAAATTCAAATGTATTTTAATGAGAATAATACTGTTCAGTTAAATTATGTCTACTCTTTTATGATTGGATTGCAGACAGAACAGAAAACTAGTTACATTGGTCGACATCAATCCTACATGCATGCATTCTGTCCTAATCTTTAATTAACAGTTCTGTTAAAATAATATAATGGGGGGGGGGGGGTTTGAGAGTGAGAAGGCAATGGTCTTCTAGGTGTCATGAACTTAAAATTATTTATGGAAGGACCGTAAGTTGTGGTAAGCCATAAATCACTGAGCTATAATTCCTATCATATTCCAGCCATCACATTTAACAATTAAATATTGAAGTTATGGATGGATGATAGATGATAGATGATAGATGGATGGATGGATAGATGGATGGATGGATGGATGGATAGATAGATAGATAGATAGATAGATAGATAGATAGATAGATAGAT